AATACCCAAGCAGGGTGCGTGTTAAATTGCACACCAACACAAGAGAAAAAAATCTGAGGATATATTTTTCGGATATTAAAGAACCCCTATCGGGAGTATGCCGCCATCCCCCCCCCCCCCCCCAGCGGCCAGTACCATGTCTTTCGGAATCCGCAGCAGTGCCATTGCTAGCCAAGAATAGCTCACCTTTGCTAAAACTGGAGCTCTTCGAGTACCAAGACACCACTCACGATCACTTCTAACTCACTTGCACACACTTATACTCCCAACACACCGTAATCCCACCAGCGCCTCCGCCCGCAGTCGCGCACGTTTCAAACTAGTATGGCGGCCGGCCGCATGGAAGCCAACGGTTGAACATGGGCTACTAGGGCTGCATTATGTTCCCAATATTTTCCCGACGCGTTTTCTTTGAAGTATTGTATATGAATTTATTTATTTATTATCGTGGATTTGCTTATTTGATGTAGTTGAAGCAAATCCATTAGAATATAAATGCAAACTCTGTACACCAACAGCACAGCAGCGCCATCTACCCAACTGCACCCAAGGGAATTTCAAGGGTGTCTGACACTGCAAAGACAGGCTGACGAAGAAAGACGGACGTCTTTCGAAAGCTCCCGTAACTAATAAACGAAGCTGGTGTTTTGAATATTTTTATGCTAGAATGTCTCTGTCCCAGCTAAACAATAACATTTATAACTACATGAAGTACCAAGAGAATACGAACGGTGATAGTCATCCCCGAAACACCATGCGCACTGTAAAAAATATAGATTTTGTTTCGGAATCTTTCCATGCACCTTCCAGATACCCGTAAATTTTGTGGATACTGCGGATAAGTTACATAGGTGTCATTCATCGAGCCGGAATATCCATGGGGAGTCTAACACCCCAAATATCCTCGATACATTATCCTGGGGAACTCTTAAGGTGTCGGTATCGGCAGAACGTACACTATTTGAGGTGTTTCAGGGGTGTCTGACACTGCAGATGTTCACCACAAGTGTTTTACCATTATCTTTTGACACCCTTCATGGGTGTTACCAAGCGATTTACACCTATATAGGTGTTGACACCAAACAAACACCCCGGGAACTCCCAATGGGAATCTTTTGTTTTTCTCCAAAAAATTCCAATTGGGAATTCACGGGGTGTTTGTTTGGAGTCAACACCCCAAACACGCTTTTAAGTGTGTCAACGAGATAATTGAACACCCCAAAACACCTCTAAGACTCTGGTGAGGTGTTCCCGAAGTGCATCATGATGCACTTCGGGAACACCTCACCAGAGTCTTAGAGGTGTTTTGGGGTGTTCAATTATCTCGTTGACACACTTAAAAGCGTGTTTGGGGTGTTGACTCCAAACAAACACCCCGTGAATTCCCAATGGGAATTTTTTGTTTCCTTCAGTTACACTTTGGGAACACTTCACTGGAGTTTTAGAGGTGATTTCGGGGTGTTCAATGATCTCGTTTACGCACTTAAAGGCGTTTTTGGGGTGTTGACACCAAACAAACGCCCCGTGAATTCCCCATGGGAATTTTTTGTTTTTTCAGTGAGTGTCAAAAGCGAAGTACTTCCTTGGGACGACTGTAGCTACCAAAGCAAACACCAAGAGCATGACTGACTGCTCTCGGGCCGGGTGTGGCGGCTGCATATCCGACCAGTTGGCGTGTCCAGTTCCCTTTGAGACCAATGTCAAGGTCGGCTCCGCTACTGCAGGCCCGAGGTGGGCGGATTGGGTCACCCGTGTCTGTAAACCCAGTCCACCGTGGGATCTGTCGGACGTATAAATGTCGTGTGGGTGTTGCTACCGACACCAGTCTCTCACAGTGGCAACAGCTGCTTACGTCGCAACAAATCACCCTAACCAGAAACATGAAGGTGAGCGCTTGAAAGTTGTATGATATAGAATGATAGGTATGATGGAAAATCGTTTGATGTTTGTTGTTCAGTGCTTTGCATCATTCAAATGGAACTAATGTTTATTTGCGCGAGGTGTTTCATTGATAAAGTTCCTAATGATTGACTCATAAGTTGTAATATAGGCTATGCGCACATTGCGCAATTACAGGCCAATAAATGTATTGAATAAGTAACTAACCAATAACCATACCGCAGGATGTGTTTTGAAATAAATAATATGTAAGTCTAGTATGCCCATAGGCGTAGGAACAGGGGGGGCCGGGGGGGCCATGGCCCCCCACTTTTTAGCCATTTTTTAAAGTAAAATCTTTATTTTTTATTTAAATACAAAACTAAGAGCAGGAAATGATTCAGCAAGGTGAGATGAGCACAAAACTGCAAAGAATTTCTTCATAGGGGTATTGGGGCTCCCACAAAGTGACATTGAAGTTTCGCTGGCCCCCCCACTTTTCGTGAGGTTCCTACGCCCATGAGTATGCCTGTGTATTTCATGTATCGGAAACTCTGAAGCCGATAAGGTGGCATTCAAAGAAGTTCAACTGGCGGGCATGTTTTTTCACAGTTACTTCTAAAAAACAGTTTTAGGGCAAAACTTTTTTAATTGGACCTGACCACCCCCGTCTTCATTTCCTGCAGGTCCTGCTCATCTCTGCTCTGGTGGCGGTCGCCCTGGCGGCTCCCCAGAAGTACGCCCAGCAGCAGTACTCAGATGCTCCGGCCAAGTACGCCTACGACTACAAGGTGCAGGACTCCAACTACGCCGTCGACTTTGGACAGAGCGAGTCGCGCGACGGAGCCAACACGCAGGGCAGCTACTACGTGGCGCTGCCGGACGGCCGCGTGCAGCGCGTCACCTACAGCGTCAGCGGCGACGGCGGCTACGTGGCCGAGGTGACGTACGAGGGTGAGGCGCGCTACCCGGCGGCGTCTGCCAGCCAGCCGGCATACCGTCCGGCCGGCAAGCAGCAGCCGTACAACTAGACGGCCGCCGGCGCCGCCTGCCGCCGACCGGGCTGCTCTCCCTCTCTAAATGGGAGAGGGACAGACGCGCCGTGTCGGCCCTCGACTTATGTCCTGTGCTGTGCCTGATGGCTGTCGATGACTGCGAACGCCTCAGCCCATGTCGTATTTATTTTGTCCTCGTCAATACATGCTGATTTTTATTTTGTAGCAAATTTGTTGCATTTTTCGAGCTTGAGAGCTGAGTGTATGCCAGGCCCCAGGGATTGCCGTTTAATTGCCTCCTCACATTGTTCCCGTTATGGTCATGCCAGCTATGGGATTCGAACCTTCGATATGCCGAACTAAACGTTATTCCACATACCTTTTGGTTCAGCTTAACCCTCGCCCCGTTGGGGGGGGGGGCCATTTTGGCCCCCCCCTGTGGTTTTTCCTGAATAGCAAGAAAACGGCGGCGCGCAGCGCCGCCAAATTTTCAGTACCTTCCCGGGCATCAATTTGACACCTTCACACAAAATTTCAAGTCTTAGGTCACCTTAGGTCAGGAGTTATTGAGGTCAAACTGAGGTCATGTTCGAGCAAAAATGAGCAAAAAACATGCAATCTTGAAACGCTCACCAAATCTACAGTTATCAAGCAATTTTAAAGTTCTTTATATGGTCTAGTAGACAAAAAGCGGCGCTACAAAACTGCTATCTCGGATTTTCAAAATTTTGGGTTTTTGATCCCCAAAAATTCAAAAAATTGATTTTTTTAGAAAAACTAAAAAACAATCCAAAATTTTTCCGAATTTCGAAAAAACCGGAATATATGTGATAGTCCCTGCGCTCTTCTATATACATACCAAATTTCAGATCGATATCTCGTTTTTTGGCCAAGTTATAGCAAAAAAACTGTTCAAAAATGATGACGTCAAATTTTTGAACTCAATTTTTAGCGATTCTAGACCACGTACGGCAAAACAAAGACCACCATTGAACTCCCCGTGACGAGCTGCATCGATTCGATACCCATTTAATGCAAAAATATCAACTTTGAAATTTGACCTAATTTGACCTGACCTTGACCTGACCTTGACCTGACCTTGACCAAAACGTGACCTAGGCTGGCCCCAAAGGCTGCCTGACCCACATAATCGCATTTGTCATGTGAAATGGACCATAAAACATGTATCACACGACACTTTCATATTGTGACCCCCCAGTGACCTGACCTCTGTGACCTGACCTGGTATCAGTGACCTCAAATAGCAAAATATGTGTTTGAAGAACATTTCCCCATCGATGATTTTCAATGAAATGCATTTTACTCGATTTTACAACGCATTTCTTGAAATGCCTATAAACGGTGAAAATTGGACCTTTGACCTGACCTGTGACGTAATCGGTTTGACCTAGGTCAATAAAATTGGGTCACAAGGTAGTTCCCTGATAGGGCTATCCAACACCGTTTGCCGCTTGTCGCTAAGTTGCGTGGTTCTCGAGATCTTAGGGGGGGCCAAAATGGCCCCCCCCCCAACGGGGCGCGTTGCTCGGCAGAGCCCAACGGGGCGCGGGTTAACACACTTACGGTCATAGGTGTACGCAACCAATTACACATACTATGTCTACTTGCGGTCACGAATAGGTTAGACAAAAGCCTGCTTGCGCTGCCGGTATACTGAATCTATGTGGAAACTTTCTCAAGTTAGACAAGGTACGATGCAACCGGACAGCATGGCAGGCCGAACGGATACACGTTGACCAGCACCTGACCATTCGTCGGCTGGTGACGTCACGTGACGTGATCGTGACGTCAGGTGATATTGATTAGACTGCGCCTGGTACACGCAGGTAGTGAGCTGGAGCCACAGATGCTAGTTAGGTAGTCGTCAGGCATGATTTCCCAAAGCTGATCGTTTTTTTTTTTGCCACCCAGCAAAAGTACAAGACACACCAAAATCGTGCATGCCAGAAAACATGGGGTTTTTAAGACATATTCAAAGTATATGTTTATATAGAGGTCTTAGTATGAAAGAATGCAATTACGCAATTCGAGTCATGAAAGAAGCCCCACATATTTCCGCTCTTTATTACCACACATATGAACACTGCCAATGTTTCTCACTCATCCAGGTCGCACCTGCCTGGAGTTCGCGCTGCTGGACTCGCGCTGTCCGCGGCCGTCGTCTCCAGTCTCTGGGCCCCCGCTCCGCTGACAAAAGATCCCCACTATGGCCTGCTGCCGGCTCACTCTGCGGGACGACATCCTGCCGTTCTGGCGCTCCTGGGTCGTGGTGCTGGTGCCACTGCTGCTCTGTCCCCTGCCGCTCGTCTCCAATACGAAGGTCAGTCCGACAGATCTTCAGAATAAATACAATGGTCAGTCTGGCGGACCATTAGAATGGTACAAAGGCGAACTAGAAGGGTCATCAGAACAAAACTGATGTTATCAGAAGGGTTACTAAAAATAAGGAGGTGTTACGCTATTTTGAATTGAATGTAAATTGCACACCAACAGTTGCAATTCGTAGCGGAAAATTGATTAATATAGACTTAAACTTACTGCAACCGGTCGGAAAAGTCCAAGTTATTAACAAACTCTCATGGACGTGAAACGGCCGCCAGCCAGCCCTGTAAATATGACGACTTTTACCCCAAATCGGCGTTTGAGCCGTTCCTCCCTCCCCCTCGCCCCTCGCTCCGCCTGTCAGGAGGCCTGGTGCGGCTACGGCGTCCTCATCATCGCCAGCTACTGGATGACGGAGGCGCTGCCGGTGGCGGCCACGGCGCTGCTGCCGACGGTGCTGTTCCCGCTGTTCGGCGTGCTCGACACGAGCACGGCCAGCCAGCAGTACATGACCAGCACCAACCTGCTCTCCATGGCCGGCCTGATGGTGGCCGTGGCCGTGGAGAAGAGCAACTTCCACACGCGCGCCGCCCTCCGTGTAGTGCTCACCGTCGGATCGAGCGTCAAATGGTGAGAGCGAACGGGATTCACCGTCGGATCGAGCGTCAAATGGTGAGAGCGAGCGGCACTCACAGTCAGGTAGAGTGTCAAGTGGTGAGAGTGAGAAAGATTAACTGTTTCTTTGACACCAAACTACCTAATTTGGTGCCATCTTGAATCATAACTCCAGCATGCTAATGTTCAGACCAGCTGATGGGTTTTCTGCTCCCTGACAGGCTGATGATGGGCTTCATGGGCATCACCATGTTCTTCTCCATGTGGATGTCCAACACGGCCACCACAGCCATGGTGGCGCCCATGGTGGAGGCCGTCGTGGAAAATCTCACCGAGGCAAGGCTCAGCTGATATCCACCTGACAAGCTCTTGAAGTGTTCATGCTGACTTGCCTAATAATCTTTGCAGCGAGCTCGTAACAACTGATAAGATTCTCGGAACGGTTTCTCTAACAGCATGATTGTTGACAAGAGGCACTTCGCATTGTGCCGTTGTTGAATGTTATCTTCAGATAGCTAATCTTCACCTTAACCCGCACCCTGCTTGGGAGGGGGTGTTTGAACACCCCCGTTGTGGTTTTTCGCGAATATCTAAAAAACGACGGCGCGTAGCACCACCTTTTTTGGTAAACCTGTTTATACATCTTTTTCCCACATGTTGTAAAAAGTTCAGACCCCGGTCATTCAAGGTGAGCTCATGGTCATGTCAAGTGACATTAGGTACCTCATAAAACGTTCAAAGGCTCGCTGTAGCTACACCGATTGAACGAACACTTTGAAACTTTCAGCGTTTGATAAGAGTAACAGTATGTATATCATGTTTATCTTGGATTTTTGATATTTGTGACCTAAGGTCAGGTCAATCTTGCGACCTCTGCATTTTAAGTCAATGGGAGAAAATTGAAATGCGCCTCTTTTGGACGAATCGTTCTAAACCTTCTTAACCCTCGCCCGCACATGGGGGGGGGGGGGTGGTTGCCACCCCCCAGGTAGTCTTTCTGCTCTGCACTCAACATTTTTAGAGCTAGAAGTCTGATTTTTCGTATAGCTGCTCCTCTATCCTTTCTTGATGTCCACTGAAAATTTTAAGTTTCTGTGGTTTTTGGTTTCGGAGATATGACCTTGTTTTTCAGGTCATGTCATGACCCAAATGGCCAATTCTCAACATCTTGCGTTGGCTATGGGCCTTGTGAGCTTTTAACACCTTGATTTCGGCCTTTTATGCCAATCCTACCTCCCACCTATCATGAAACATGTTGTTCGACGATGTACAGAGGTCAAGGTCAGGGTCAAGGTCAACCTAGGTCATCTAAGATAATTGCGTTTTAGGCAAGCTGAATTTACTTTTTTTGAAATTTTTTGACTACATTTTTGGTAAAAGCTTCTCAGATCATGATTTCATGTAATATGGACACATAAACAATCGGTGCACACATCAGTATACACACAGACACACACAGACATACAAACACATATTATTGACCTTGACCTAACTTGACCTGAGATGACCTCAGCAGCAAAAACCTGGTCGGGTAGTGTGACAAAGAGGTTCTAGCTGGCTTGGCACCAGAAAACGGCATCGTCATCGGTATATGACAAGCAGCGCGCTTGATATCCAACGGTGACCTAAAACAGCAACATTTTTTAGTTTGACCTGACCTGGAAGGTCAATGACTGACCTGAGAAGGTAAAACTGGGTATCATTGGATTCGTCTTTTCCCAAAGAATCTTTTTGGTCTTTACCGCTAAGCTCTATCTCCAACAGGAACGAAATGGCGCGGGGGGGGGGTGGCAACCACCCCCCCATGTGCGTTCTAGGATGGGAAAATGGCATGTGCGGGCGAGGGTTAAACATCGGTTCATAAGTAAACATGACACACTGAATCGGAAAATTGCACCTGTGACCCCTCTGTGTACCCCTGAGGTCGTCTCAGGTCTTGAAAGGTCACCAGCAGTTTTTTTACTATAATTTTTGATAGAGACGTGCTAGAGCGGTGGAAACACGTCAGATGTGTTCAGCTCGATGGTACGGATCGACCGGTATGCAATATGACCCTTTCCAGTCTGGTCATGACTTTGACCTGAGGTCAAATTTTTCAAAATGACCTTTCAAGGTCAACTTATAGTTCGTTCGAAGCGTCTCGACGAGAGGAACACGATGCTGGCAAAAGTAATGTCGTGGCGCTCTTGAGTCAAAAGGTATAATTATCCCCCCCCCCAAAAAAAAAAACTTTTTTTTTGTGTGAAAACGGCTATTTTTAGAATTTTTGCCCTCTGGAGGCTAAACCAAAGGCCTCCAGAGCTAAACCATCAGATTAAGCCTGAGGTCGAATCTGATGGCACGTAAGCGAAAGAGCGTTTAAAGTGTAAGTGTCTAGCCCCGGCCGCTGACGTCAGAGGCAAACGCCGAACTCGGAGCCGACAAGCGTGTATCCGGCAGACAAACAAACAAACAGAAACGCCCTAGAAAGAAAAGACAAACAACTGTCACAATCCCGACACATACAAAGCCGGCACGAAATATCAAAACCCGTTATTAGAGAATGTGAAATAAAATAAACAGTAGTTATCACGAAAGTTGAAACCCACCGTTCAAGCAGGCGCAATCCAATCACATCTCGATCCTCGCCATGTCGCGGCGCACCGAATGCCCGCGCTGGACGCGACGGGGGCTCAACGGAAATTCGGCTGCTCTCTCATTGGTCAGAATAAGCGATTACCTGATTGGCTCTCGCGTGGCGTGCAACTACATCATTGGACAAAATCATTACAGGAAGTCTAAAACTCTTCGGATAAGAAATATGACACATAACTAAAGAAACATTGGTACCGAACAATATTAAATAATAAAATAGTCATTACAAATCAGTATCATAACTAAATAGAACTAAACACGCGACAACAAACCAAGGACATTATTGCAGCGCAGGACGAATTTAGAGTTGCGACTTTCACTTCTGGTAGGCCCAGTATCCGCTCGCATAACATGTAAGCGGAAATCCGCTTACACCCTTCCTCCCTAACGCGAAGAAACTTCTCGATTATTTACACATACAATACAACGCATCGACCTACGAAAAAGGAACTTTTTTTTTTTTTTTTACTGGACGGCTAAACATGTTCGGTCTCAACTGAATAACTCCGTATTGCAGCTCAGCTCGTGCGCTTCTCCATTCGCTAGAGAACTACCTAGGTGCCCATTGTACAGAGGTAACACTAAGGCTCGCTTGCAGCTGTTCTTACTACGATAGGAATCTCAAGTCAAGTTATCGCCCAATGTCATTGCCTTTCACCCAGTATTAAACATTAAAAACGACAGCAGCACACAGCAGCTCTGTGTGATAGGTACCCACAACGGAAAATCACGGCGAATACCTGTCGGGAGGAATGACTACTCGTGTTGACCTACGCAATTCGGGACTGCGCATATCTGCGGTAACCTGAGTGTTCGCCACGTCGGGCGGCACCTCTGCTGCTCCAGTCGGAGCTGAACCTGCTATCGGTTCTGCGACTCCCTCTGGCGTCTCACGTGTCTCACGCGCTGTCTCTGTCTGAACTGGGGGTGTCTGCGGGGCGAAAGATATGGCGAACGGATTCAGCAGGGACAGGGCCGGCGGTCCTGAGTCGTCAAGACTAGCGGCGTCAGCTGGTTGGCAACTAGGCCTACCTTCACACTGCGCGCCACTTACCCTCTGATTGTCACTGACACCATCCATCCTCCTTCGGCCTGTCGGAAAGGTCACGCCTGCTGCTGTCCCGACAGCCGGCTGTGGTCTCGCGGCGGGGTCCGCCCGTGAGACGGACGCTGTCGGTGCGGTCACCGGTGACTCACCTTCTCCGGTATCCACTCGAGGCTTCAACCTGTTGTGGTGTACGATGAGCGTAGACCTAGCTCCTTCTAGTCTGATCCTATAGTTCAGAGGACCGACCTGATCTACTACTACTGCTCTCTTCCAAGGACGCAAAAACTTATAATACTGACCGCGCGGAACGATTCCCTTATGCAGATACACTTTGTCTCCAGGTAGGTAACTGTTCTCATTTAGCTTTCTATCATAAATCTCCTTATTCTTCTGATGACTTCTGTTCGAGTTCTCTAGTGCTACTTTGTGCAGAGCACGCAGATTGGTCTGCAGCCTCTCTAGATACTCCGTGATGGGTCGGGTCCTGCACCGAGTAGGACCGGCGTACTCGGCATCGGCGGGCAGCCTTGGCTCCCTGCCAAAAAGTACGCAGTACGGTGACACGCCGAGGGAGCGGTGCACCTGACTGCGGAGCCCGAGCATCAAAAGGGGCAGGTGGATGTCCCAGTCTGAGTGCTCGTGATCCTCAAGGAATTTAGACAGCATACCAAGCACAGTACGATTGATTCTTTCACAGATTGAATTACCCATCGGATGGAATGCCGTGGTATGTGACTGCTCTATCCCCAGTAACTGGCACGTGAGCTTCATAACTTCCCCGGTGAAGCAGCCACCCAAATCCGAATGGATCGTCTTTGGCACCCCATATCGAGACACAAACTCTCTGACAAACGCCTGAGCTACCTCAGTCGCCTCTTGTGTCTTCAACGGAATACACTCTACAAATCGCGAAAAATGATCGATAACTACGAGCAAGTGTCTGTGCCCCTGCGACGTCACTGGCAGGCCAGACAAAATGTCGAGCGCTACTACCTCCATGGGCGATGAGGCTGGCAGCTGGCCCAGGGACGCTCGCGGGGCGGGAACCGGCTTGTTCCGCTCGCCGCAGCGGTGACACGACTTACAGAACTTTTCTATATCTACAGCCATGCCGGGCCACCAGAACCTTAACCTAGCTTGAGCTGACAACTTATCACTAGCGAAATGACCTCCCGTGGGTCCGGCGTGCAGAGAAGTCAGCGCCCCTGAGATCAGACTCTTGGGCAGCACTACCTGTAGCTGATCAGAATCGCCAGGCCTTCTTCTGTACACGCGGAACAGAACTCCGCCCACCAGTCGCAATCTGGACCACTGCGACAAGTATTTGCGACACGACTGGGGTAGATCCTTAGCTTTAGGCTTGGTTCCCGCGGAGACGCACTTCGATATTTCCGCGATATCCTCATCCTTGTCTTGCTCCGAGCGAATGTAGCTGGTCGACCAATCGTCTGACCTTACCTGAAAGCAGTATTCCGTCTCTGGGTCCGTCTGACATGACTGATCAGTCTGCTCGTCTGGTCTGCGGGAGAGAGCGTCTGGCACTGTGTGGAGGGCGCCCGGGCGATACTCGATGGTGAAGTGGAACTGAGACAAGATCTGGAACCAGCGGGCAAGCATGCCAGTCGGGTTGCGGAAATTGAGCAGCCATCGGAGACTCGCGTGATCACTCCGTACTTTAAATTCCTTACCTTCCAGGTACGCAGAAAACTTTTGCACGAAGATCACTACCGCTAGCAGTTCTTTCTGAGTGGTACCGTAATTCATCTGCGATTTTGACAGTTTCTGGCTCCCATACGCGATCACTTTCTCCACGCCACCCTGAACCTGTAGCAGCACGGCGCCCGCCTGGGTGTCAGAACTATCACAATCAAGAATAAAAGGACCTGCGTCTCGGCTGAAATCGGGCAGCGTCAGCACTGGGGCTTCACTGAGGGCTTTGCGAAGCCGGTCGAACGAGAACTGCGCCTCCTCTGACCACTGGAACTTCACGTCTTTCTGCAACAGCTTGAAGAGCGGTGCAGAGATGCTCGCAAAATTTTTGACAAATTTGCGCATGTAACCAGCCAGCCCTAGGAATGAGGAGAGCTGCTTGGCTGTCCGCGGAATCGGCCAGTCGCGCACTTTGCTCACACGGTCGGGGTCGAGAGACAAGCCACTCTCATCCACCACATGTCCCAAGAATTTGACACTCGAACGGAACAGGGAGCACTTTTCCAGATTGATCGTGAGACCGGCTCGGTGGAGCCTGTCTAGAACTAGCTCGAGCTTCTCAAGTGTCTCCTCGAACGTCTTACCACCCAAACAAACATCATCAAAGTAGGAATGACACGTGCCCTTGGGAAGATCGCGCAAAACAATATCAAGCATGCGGGCGCAGCTAGCCGCGGCACCATTGAGTCCCATCGGGAGCCGAAGGTGCTGCCAAGCGCCGAACGGGGTGACGATAGTCGTTTTAGGACGATCCTCTTCTCTCACACCGATTTGAAAGTAACACATGCGAAGATCAAGCACACAGAACATTGAATTTCCACCCAGGGAATCTAGAATCGTGTCTATTCTGGGGACAGGATAAGCAGGCATCTTAGTCACAGCGTTAACCTTTCGGAGGTCAGCACAGATCCGGACTCGTCCATCTTTCTTTGCGACAAAGCATGCAGGACTACTCCAATATCCATTCGACTCTTCCAGAACCCCTAGATCCACCAAGCGTTGTATCTCGGCCCTTACCTTATCCTCCAGGAATGGTGGGACGCGATGGGGTGCTGAACGTATCGGCGGACTGTCACCTGTGTCGATGTGATGCTCCACCGCGGATGTGAAGCCCAACCGACCATCAAACATGTCACTATATTTGGTCAGCAGCTCGGTCACCTTCTCCTTCTGCTCCTTACTGAGGTCTGTGTCTGACAGGTCTATCTTTTCACGCCAATTGGGATCTGCGTCACCTGAAGGGACTGGAAACTCAGCCACGCCCACTTCCAGTCTACCGATCTCCGCACGCTTGGGGATCGTGATTGGCTCAGTTGTAATGTTTCTCACAATGCACGGAACACTCTGACCGTTTACCTGCACCATGGAAGGAACCAACTCGAGTCCCGGGACTTCAAGCAATGGCTCGCACAGTGCTGGCCCTCTGAAGTCGACGTTTGGAACAAAACCTGGAAAGAAAACCTCGTGTCCGGCCGGAACCGCGATGTCTCTCTGACAAATCACCTTACCCACCGAGAAGACTGAAGCGGAGATGGTTCTGACCATTTTCGCAGAGCTGAGGATCAGCTGACTCTTGGTGAGATCCAGAACACACGGGCACACGCCAAAGAACTCCAATCCCAACAAAACAGTGCAGTCAATCTGATCCGAAACATAGAATGGAACCACCACTACTTCTCCAGCAACTTTAACGGCAATCTGTGTACGACCGATCAGTGGTAGGGGGTCCCTGCTAACCGTGTGTGCCACTGTGGCCGTAGTGAAAAGGGGAGGGGCCTTGGGGAGCACATCAAAAACGGATTTGTGAATGATATTAATGCTGCTGCCGGTGTCCAACGTCACTGAACACGTCACACCTCCCACATCAGCGTCAAATGTCATGTCAGCATTCAAGTGGACTGTCCTCTCACCTGCTCGGGCTGCAACGACTGGGCCATCCGGGGCGGCTGCAACGGCTGCGGCCGCTGGTCCTGTGGTCTGGCATCCCACTGATGTGGACCTGGTCCCCGCTGGAACCCTGAGACTGGGGTCCGCTGCTGCTCGGGTCTGGGGTCGGGGCCGGGCCCAGCCCGCTGGGGGTTTACCTGCTGCGTGCACATCCGGGCCAAGTGTCCTTTGGTCCCACACACATGACACGGCAGGTGCCTTTGCCGACACCGCGCCTGGTTGTGACCGGGCCTCCCACAACAGAAGCAAGTACGGCCGCTGCTGGACACTGGGGGAGAACGAGCGCTTACCTGCGGACGCTCCAGTCGCGAGAGTTTCAACTCCAGCTCCTGAACTTTCCGACGAAGTAGGTCTGTCTCGTCTGTGGCCGCTACCTGCCGAACCGTCTGGCTCGCTGCCACCTTCGCGGCGCATGAGAGGTTTCTCACCTTTGCCACCGCACTGTCGAACGTCTGGATGCCCTCGCCTATTAGCGCTTGTTGATATGTCGGTGGCAGTGATTGGAGGAAGTAATTGTACAGCAAGGGGTCATGATCGGTATGCCGGGTGTCGGGAAATGCGCGACTGACTAGCCCTCGAAGCTTCACCACAAAAGCATCAAGGCTGTCATCTGTTGTGAGTCTCAAAGACCGGAGCTGGACCTGTGCCTCGACTTTGTCGCCGGAGGGGAAAGCCAGTTCCAATCTCTTGCACGCGTCGCCTACCTTCTTCTTGCACTCGGTCGGGAAGGCATCGTAGGCGTCCCTCGCAATTCCGGACAAACACAGAGGCAGCAGAGCTACTTTTTTATCGTCATCCCATCCTTGTAGGACTGCAAACGTGTCAAAGTCCGCGATGAAACGAGAGACACTGCCCTTACCGGCGAAAGACGGCAGACCGACCGATAGTGACTGCGTCGCCATGCTGAATGTCAAATTTGGCACACTTCCAACGGAAAAAAAATCGGTGATGTAAGGGGAACCGCAGAGTCGTTAATACGGAAAGTAATTCAACAAGTTACGCTAAAATTAAATGCTCAAATTACTGCGAGAAAGGCGATGGAAAGGACGTTTTACAATGGAAAAAGAAATCGTAGAGCCAGTATTACCTCGTTACAGTGAGACCGCAACACTTTACCAGCAACCAACATCACACCTTCCCAAACCAAGCACATACATGACACACAGTATCAATGAAACACCCTTGTCACCACTCATATCCCCAACCACCAAATGTTTATGTCCACGTCAGCCCAGTTTGGCACACCTCAGCTTCAAATGTCCACGTCCGTCTTCATAGGGGGGGGGGGGGGGGTAGTGCGCGCATTGTCACCGGAGAATACCACGCACGGCGTCCTCGGCAGGGGGGGGGGAAAGCACCTGAGTCTCCGGGGGGTCAGAAGGTGCTCGTGTCCGCAACAGGGGGGAGTGCACTCGTCCCAGTCTCCATCGGGAGTGGCCGGTAGTCCTCGGACCGCGAGGCAGGATTACCCGCCCCAACAATGGTCAAAGGGCGATCGCTTAGATCGGGTGACACAAACGTTCAGGCACATCCCGCTATCGGATAAGTCCGAACTGGATAGGTCTCACCGGCGTGTAGACGTTGAGCAGTCAGCTGTCGCGCTCGGAGAATCTTATACTGACGCCAGGTGTAGGCCGTCGAGCTCGGAGAAGCCTACTGACGCCAGATGCAGGCCGTCAAGCTTAGGCCGTCGAGCTCAGAGCATCCCACCGCTGCCACCAGATGTAAGCGTCTAGCCCCGGCCGCTGACGTCAGAGGCAAACGCCGAACTCGGAGCCGACAAGCGTGTATCCGGCAGACAAACAAACAAACAGAAACGCCCTAGAAAGAAAAGACAAACAACTGTCACAATCCCGACACATACAAAGCCGGCACGAAATATCAAAACCCGTTATTAGAGAATGTGAAATAAAATAAACAGTAGTTATCACGAAAGTTGAAACCCACCGTTCAAGCAGGCGCAATCCAATCACATCTCGATCCTCGCCATGTCGCGGCGCACCGAATGCCCGCGCTGGACGCGACGGGGGCTCAACGGAAATTCGGCTGCTCTCTCATTGGTCAGAATAAGCGATTACCTGATTGGCTCTCGCGTGGCGTGCAACTACATCATTGGACAAAATCATTACAGGAAGTCTAAAACTCTTCGGATAAGAAATATGACACATAACTAAAGAAACATTGGTACCGAACAATATTAAATAATAAAATAGTCATTACAAATCAGTATCATAACTAAATAGAACTAAACACGCGACAACAAACCAAGGACATTATTGCAGCGCAGGACGAATTTAGAGTTGCGACTTTCACTTCTGGTAGGCCCAGTATCCGCTCGCATAACATGTAAGCGGAAATCCGCTTACAAAAGAGCTGTTGAATGCGCTTTTCCGCGGCGCTGTAGCTCTAACGGTTTCCGAGTTAGCCGTCGGTTGTTTCGAAAATTACTGAAATACCTAGGCAAAATTTGAGCTTTGATGACCTCTGGTCACTTGACCTTTGACCTGACCTTAAAGGGACTATCCCACCTTTACATTAGGTTTGAGTTGAGATAGCCAAGTTTGCGGCGAGGTCCAGAAACCACTATCTATCTTGGTTGCAACCCCCGCGGCCTCGTGGTGTTGAAGAAATTCGTTCCCTTCATTTGAAAATGAGCCCTGCGCAAGGCCCAATCTCTTAACCATTAACGGTAATCTGATGTCGTCATTTGCCTTTTGAACGCCTGTTCAAGTGAAGTATCACTCGATTTACGAATAAGCCAATCAGAGACACTTTTGTTATTGTATGAGACGAGTCATAGTTGAGAGCAAATACCTATATTTGCTGCCAAATTTCCCCCACACTGACATGAAGTAAATCCTTCATTACGTCACAGATCCGATCTAAATGACGTCACGATGAAATATAAAAGTCGCAATATCTCAAAAAGTATACGATGAAAACGCGTAAAAACTTGCAGAATTCGTCACAATATCATGAGTAACATTTCCGAATCCTAAACGGGACTTTTTTGAAGGTGGGATAGTCCCTTTAAAAGGACTGTAGTATTTCTTTCATTATTTTTGACGCTCTTTCGATTGCCGCTTACCGCGTGTCACTACGTGGCCAGGAGCCGAGTAAGAGGGGGGGGGGGCGTGAAAAGTCCCCCCCTTCCTCAGCACGACAAGGAAAACTCAGGCCACCAGCACGGCGCGGGTTAACTGGTTTTCATTTGCGGGACAATCTCCGTTGTAATACTTATCTGACTTGGAGCTTCAAGTTTGTTGATAGTGTACCATTAGTGAGCAATTTGCCACATCAAACATATCTTGGTCATCGGTGTTCATATGATATCAGCGTCACTTGAGAAAGCCATATGCCATTTGTGAGGCTTTCGTGAGGCTTCCGACTTAGGCACTGATTGACACACCGTCGTTGAAGTCTCAAGCCCAGTCCAATAAATATTAGCCGAACAGCTATTTCTTCATTCCACCTTATATATTATTCAATAAAAGTACCTAAGTGATAATCATAATGGTTAAGACAAGCGACTGCGTTTATTGATTTATAGCGACATTTTTTCTACAGAAAATGGATGATTCAGAAGACGAGCCTGTTACTGAAAAAGAGGAAACAAGACAGTCAGAAAGGGATGTGGAAACGTCGAATATGGAGCCCGCTGGGTTTGATGAAATAAGCACTGAACTGACTGAAAAGTAAGCATCATGATATCTATAATAATGAGTTTAATTGCACGTTTATCTACACAATTAGCATCAAAAGGAACATTTTCAATGATATTATAATCGGGTTATATATGATAAAGATTAACTAACTATGTGGTGGATGGCGAGCTTTATCGCAACTCTTCATGCTGTACCGGGGACCAAAATGCTGTAAGTTTTATTTATCAGCGCTTATTTCCAAGTGACGTGATTATATGCTTGATGAACTGCAAGCATTATGACATTTGATCTACCAAATGAGGCTTGCAATCCGTAAAGCATCACCTATGAGTCCCGACCATCCGACAAACTACCGTGCTGTGTGTGGCGTGCTCTCGTGTCCCAGGAAGCCGGCTACCACGATGACGGTCGAACAGCTCCGACCGCCTCTGTTCCTTTGTGTGGCGTACGCGGCCAACTGTGGAGGAATGGGAACGCTGACCGGCACCACACCCAACCTCGTCCTCCGGGGCATTGTCGAACAGTGAGTTTTAAAAATCACCGAGTGGTGAGTATGTTACATGAAGCTGCATCCCCTGCTTCGATGTGTGGAATTTGAATGAAAGGTTTGATTCCGTTTTTAGTTTTTTATTACGATTACTCCGAGGGATGTCTTCAGAAATTCCAACTCATTCCCGGCAGAATCACATCTTCCCTCGGTTCCCTTCAGGTATTATGGCACCGAGACGGGCCTGAGCTTCGCCAGCTACATGCTGCTGGGCGTTCCTACCATGCTGCTCTGTACTCTGATCGGATGGATACTTCTTATCGTCATATTCCTCGGGCCGCGCTACCTCCTGTGAGTACGACACCCATACGATCGTTTGAAGAGTTAACTGACCTCAAAGCTGTTTTTGCTGCTTGAGCGTCACAAATCGGCTTAAAACCGCATTATGATATATGTAGATGTTTTCATCAGGGTGAAGACTTTTCACCCCTATCTCTTCCGCCGCCTTCATAAGCTACCCCCACGGTCACGCATCTTTGTTTTGAGATGACGAGGGCTGGGCTCCATTCCCTAGCACACCATTATCTTTGGAAGAGGCTCATAGCCGACATTTCCAGGTCTGCGAACACTAAGCCGGGGGGATCTTCTAACACTTCTATCACACTAGCTGGTGTCTCTTTCTTTACTCTTAGGTGCCCCCACAGACGGTGACCATTCGACACACATCTCTTCCTACTATAACTAACCGACATGTCTCCTGCACACTCAGGAAGGACCCGACGGACCCGGCTCGGATCGCGGCCGTCCGTCGAAGTCTCCAGGACCGCTACGACGCGCTGGGTCCGATCAAGTTCCACGAGAGTGCCGTCTTCACCCTACTGTGCCTGCTGGTGGCACTGTGGTTCTTCAGGGAGCCCCAGTTCATGCCCGGGTGGAACGTCCTTTTCACTGAGACGTAAGGGCATAGCCAGTTGTTTGCCGATCTATTACTGCACTATGTGGGCGACGAATTATGCTCATGAGTAGGGGAGGACCGTACAAGAATACGCACCTAATGCATTTTGTCGTCTCACGCCGTTCGGTTTTGGTTTACGGCTACGATCAGTATATTCCGATAAAGCCTGATCATTTGTCCACAAACTGTCATGACCACAGCGGCCTACGTCCAATTTAAAGCGTGACCGTAAGCAATTTTCTAACACCCTGCATTTGCGTACTCTTGCCCGATAGGCAGTACAAGAGTACGCACTTCGTGCGGGTGGAGTACGCACTACGTGTATGCATTCCTACTCGCTGGAATCAATGCACCCATGCAAGTAATTAAACTATTGTTATCTTTATTGCCGCAGCCACTAAAACGGTCACTCTTAACAGAGTCGAGGCGCCCCGCTGTGGTCGTGCAAATGCCCCCTGGTCTACCAGAAACAGTGATGCTCTTCGTGGTTTCCCCAACTGCTCGGCGTCCCCCCGAGTGTCATCCACCTTGTTGGCCAATCCCGTGAATCTGCTGAGGGATTGCGCGCCTGATGCACTAAGTTGATTAATGCAACACAACCACGCACTCGGAAAACTGCGTACTCTTGTCCGCCACGGCAATGCGTACTCATGTCCGTTAGCACGTGCTCGGCGATCGGTGGTACGAGTAACCTTCATCTACCAATTTTCTTTTGGCGCGACTCGGTCTCGACTCCTTTCACGTCCTCTGTCGATCAGCGTCCTGCATAGGGTCAGAACCGTGATTTCTTGCTGAAAGACGAGACGGACTGATGAAAGGAGGAGACAATGGGTTTGGAGGGAAGATAATGTAATAGTGAGGGAGTGGGGAGGAGGTGGGGAAAGATGTTCCCTCTGTGATGGTTTGTCGGCAAAGGGAAGGGTGCAATTCGTGGGGCGCCGCCGCCTGTAGTCACTTCCACGTCATTGCAATGTCTGGCCGACCGCTAGGTGTCACTGGGTGTTTCATATGAGTCATGGGTTCACACGATGCCGCCGCCGAGTACGTACGGGCATTTGCGGCGCCGATGTGTGTATGGCTGTGGGCCTCGCCGTTCTAATGAATCTTACAGTCTCATCCGATCCAGTAAGGTGCCATTAGCACGTGCTCGGCGATCGGTGGTACGAGTAACCTTCATCTACCAATTTTCTTTTGGCGCGACTCGGTCTCGACTCCTTTCACGTCCTCTGTCGATCAGCGTCCTGCATAGGGTCAGAACCGTGATTTCTTGCTGAAAGACGCCAAAGAAATGGCAAGAGGCTGCGACTGGTGGCCGCTCATGGACAAGGCCATCGAGCGTGTCGGGAGCCTGTGTCGGGCGTGCCAGGAGAGGAGGCCAGCACCTGATCGCGCTGCCCTCCGCGTGTGGCCCTGGCCGGATCGTGCCTGGTCACGTATACACATCGACTTTACCGAGCCCACGAAAGGAAGGTACGTGATGGTCGTGGTAGACGCTTATTCTAAGTGAATTGAGGCAGAGTGCTGCACCACTGTCAGCTCCAAGTCGACGATTACTAGGCTGGGAAATGTGTTCCCGATGGGGATTACCAGACACGGTTGTGACTGACAACGCCACATCATTCACCTCATCCGAGTTTCAACATTCTATGCAGGAAAATGGCAGACATCACAGGACGAAAGAACCTCGCCACAGCCAAGGCAAAGGACTGGCTGGGCATGCTGTGCGTGATGTCAAGCTTGCCTTGCAGAGGTCTGACGACAACTGGGAAGATGCTATGTCTCGTTGTCTGCGCCGTCAGAATATCACACCTCACAGCACGACCTCAGTTTCCCCTCAGAGCTCATGGTTGGACGCAGCATCCGGAGCCGGCTGAATCTCCTTCACCCGGACATGCGGAAGGGAGTGACTGAGCAGCAGGTGAAACAGAAGGAAATCATGACAGCAAGGTAAGATCTGAAAGAAGATTTGGTGCGTTGTATCTCGTGCTTTTTTTTGAAACTGCGGTGTTGGGTCGCCATGGGCTGCTGGAGTGGTCGTTGGTGTCGACGGGCTAGTGTAACAGCTGGAAGCTGTGACATTTTTTTCTCCGTACGTCAAAAAGGACATCTCTCACACTCTATACGTAAGGACGATCGCACTGCCTGCCGCGGCGCTGAGCCGGCGTGGGGAGGGGGTTGACCAAACGATCCCCCGACCCGTCGGCCGGTCACCATTAAGCGAAGATCAAAGGCACGCCGAAGGGTGGAGTACAAACACACCCATCCGGGCCGGCGCAGCTGCCGCCGACAAACGCAGCGCAGTCGGAACCACCTGCCCCCGGTGCTGGACCAGCCACCGACATCCGGTGAAAATCGAGTGTGAAAACGTCATCCGGCAGGAGACAGCTGAGACGGATGAGCCGAGCAAGTGAGGATGACGTCACGTTCCGGCGGAATGGAGGGAGGAGGGCGACGGTCTCGACTCCGGATGCGAGACGGGATGTCGCCAATTTTCAGCCCCGGTCAGGGCTGCCGCCGGAGGTCATGCCAGGAAAGGACCGATTAACTGTCCCGGTCACAGAAATCGACCCCCGCCGGAACCGGATAACGAAAGGAATAAAATCGGACCGCAGAAGAAGCGAGGGGAAGAGAGCACGGTATCAGACCACGGGTGACAGACCACGGGGGAGGAGAGCTCTTCTGGACGGCGGGTCGGCCGGCACGTCTCAGTCTGAGGCTGGCCGACCCCACCCCTGCCGGAGCGGAGGGACTCTGCTGCCGCGACGGAGATTCGACGTGTCAACCATCATCAATCTGTCAAGTGAGTCATCTCATCTGTCCGCCTCATCAAGACTGCCTCCCCGTCATGGACAATTCACCTCCCATTTACCCATCGGATGTCTCTGATCTGGATTACAAATGCCACTCCCTGAGGTCTAACTTGAGCCACCATTAGGAGGGTAATGGGTTAACACCGTGTAGGGGAGGGCGGTAGGATGGTCTCGCGCGCTCCATATTGCGTCCCGGCCGGGCAGGCCGCGGTACGACCTGTTTGTAAGGGAGGGCAGATGGTCGCTACATTCCGCTCCCGACCGAGCAGCGCGGCAGTGGTGCGTCTGTTTGTAAAGAAGGGGAGGGGTATGAATGGGTCCGACTAGTCCGGCCTTACCAATGGGGTAGGGACAGGGTTCGCGGGACAGCCGGGGCGGGTCAGTAATGGTCAGTGTAGGCTAATGGCTCACCATTACATTGGTATTGGGGGGAGCGCTCTCCGTCGGCCATCGCGCGCGCGGTCCGGCCGCAGTGAGGTGTGGGATTCAATAGAGGGGAGGGGAACAGGTCAGGTGGTGTCATTTTTGGGGCGCTGGTCACCACTGACGCGTCAAACTACGTCAGATGACGTCATGACAGTTCAATTGGCGATGCTTTGTAAATAATCTTTTTGCGGTTAGGGCGTTAGGATTAGATTTAAGGCTAAGTTGGCATTGGCGAGCTGACAACCGATCGTGGTACACCGGTTGAAAATGACCAGTATTGTATCGTCCGTTTGTAAATATAGCGTGAAAATTTAACAATCTGTCTGGGAAAGAAGGGAGGGCTACTTCAGATATGTTGCTGATTCGGATTCACAGAGACCGCTAGCGTAATTATCTTTAAGTTGTCACGTCGACCACACGACTTTACGCCGGCATAACCTCACAGGCTCACCGGGACTGCACCGCGGCGATCTGATCACGAATCAACGGAAACGCAATGATCACGCCCTCACGACGCGACCACCACAAATTCGTTTTTTTTTTTTTTTTTTTTGCTAGTAGGTCAATATAAGCTGCTCTACAATCTGACTTGGCTGGTCTCGGTAGATCAGCGTTTCAATCCGCTATCAGTCTAGTGTTAATCCAAGGCTTATCAATCGATTCTCAATTCTTACAAAGTGCTCTTCGAGATAAATCGACGGTCAGAGTAGGATTGTCACATTCATGGGATCCTCATCATTCGGATACGGTTTGTCATGAAGGCGGCCCAGAAGTCGTAACGTGTTCAGTTACAATTGGATAAGGAGAGTAAAACATCGTAAACGTTAAAGATTATTCTGCTCCTTCGGCAGCTCAGCGCCAGAACAAGAACATGGGGAAACTGAATCGCCTTCCGGTTCGTTATTAAATCAGCATTGAGCCGTTTCGTGACTCGAGTTTATATAGCCGAAGCCAATCTGAACCGTCATTTCAATCGTTATAAATTTTTCGCTGTTCGTAACCTGTCAATCAATTCCCCTTTCCCTCCTAGCATTATCAGTACCTAACTGATAATGATGCTAGCTCCCCCGTCGAGGTATATCAAAGATTAACGTAGAAATGTTACGGTTGTTAAATTGATGCATCATTTGAGGCAATTGATCATAAACATCAAACGAGTTACCGTCCAATGTGACACGACTATGTCAAAATGTCACCCTGCTTGTACACAACTAGAGTCGGTTACGGAGGGAAGCGAGAAATTATCACCGCCCATTAATCACCATTCAGGTATGACAGGGACCGTTTTGTTCAGATCGGATTACTGAACGGTCTGCAGACCCCAATTAATTGACAGGAACCATGTAACGTGCACGGTCACACCACGCATTATGCCGCCGGGCAGCATTGCCTACACTTCCAGCCCAATCATGTTAGTTAACACCGGGATTCGGGAACGTGATCACGCCCACCCGTTCTTTGAAGTAGTTAATGTGAGTAATTTTGGGAGTATGTTGGGCCCCGTAGGTTTTACTAAAACTGAGCGATTGTAGTCAGAACGAAATGGAAAACGTATGCCCCTTGACCTTAAACAATTAACAGGTTAATAGCTGCACCGACGGCAGCGCCCCTAGCGCCACCTACAAGACCCAACTCTTTCGGTACAAACTCCGACAGCGCTCAGATGCAGCTGACAGTGCCACCTGGCGTGAAATAGACCAAGCTGGTTCCCTAAACTGCCGCAAGAGGTCCCTCGTGTCGGCACGCAATTGCGTGTGACTGACT